AATTGGATGAATATTAAATCTCCTTATTCTTATCCTTCCCACGGACCCGTAAAACAGAATTTTCTAACTAAAAAAGTTCTGATACTATATCCATTTTCCCTGTAGGTACGATAATTATTCGAAAATTCACTAAGCCATCGGTCGGTCGCCGGTAGTGTTACGTCTCTAGTCGCCCGCATGCTGCACTGTATTTCATCGTTACAAGTCGTTGCGAGTCGATGCGACCGCAGTCACGACATAACGCCGGCACGCTACACGAGCCCTTAAAAAGTTTGCCTAATACCAGTTACGACAGGTAGATAGGGGTGGGACGATCATTTACTCTTTTATTACTTATAACTGTACTTACCTGATTTTTAAGTTTGAACTTGTGATGAAGAAAATACATTAATTTTGTATTTGCGAGACAATTGTAAATAAAAATAATATTATAAACAATATCTTTTATTTTTAAACCAGTATAAAAATATATTATAGTACAACAACACAATAACTTATCGAAATTAGTTTATTTATTCCTGTACCTGTATCGTAAATACTATAGCAAAAAAATATTATTACTTTAAATATTATTACTAATATTTCGACTGAAAACTTGAAACCCAAGGTCATGAAATAAATAATTTAAAAAAACATTAGTACTTCCAACGTTGTCGCTAGATGGCATTGACCGAAATAATAGAAACTTCAATCTATACCAACAGATTCAATAACTTTATTCTTAAGTCTACGTGTAATTATATACGACAAGCATAATTATAAAGTATACAAAACAACCACTTTACTATATTTTTTCTGACCAACGTGTAATATTACGCATAACGTATGTAAGATCATTGAATTACGTACTGATTTCTTATATTCATGTAAGCACCGTATATATTTCATATTTATCTTTTTATATTGTATAAATTATTAGTTAATTAAAACTTTAAACCATTACACTTTCATACTAAGCCACCTCGCAGGATTGTCGATGGTAATCTTATCTATGATCTGTTGCGAGACTCCACGCGCCAACATTCTGGGCAGTACGTTGTTTATGATGTGGCAATATCCGTGTCCGCCGAAGTCGATCTACGAATACGTAGACATGCATAAGTACAATTATGAATTTTAAAAAGGCTGTGTAATTTATTTTTACGATAGGAGACAAGGCGAGTTTCTGTGGTCACACTTCAATCGATTTCATTTTTAGTTTAAGTTACTTTTGAGTTTTTTAATTCTATGTTTTACTTTGATTTCTTAGGTTTACGCGATTGCTACATATCACAAAATCGTTTTGTTGAAAAAATATTTTTGAAAAAAAAAAAGAAAAAATGTTTGAAATAACAAATATACACGGTATACATTCGAAAACATTATTTCATTTCTTTGTTATATTTTTAAGCTGGGGGCTTCAAATTTATATACAAACACTGACTCCTGTGACCAGTGGACGTCCAGCGGTTATATAGCTACCTAATATACCTATTTCAATTTTCCACTCTCATGCTCATTTTTCTTAATACTTTTGACTTGGCCTATTTGAACGACATCCTCCCTTTTTTTTGTTAATATTGCAAGAGCACTTCCGGTTGTCTATGTCCACAAAAACATAAATGGAATCCAAAGATACGCCATGTGCATAGGCTCTAAAGTAACAGCTTTATCTTAAAATTCATATCACCGTAGTGGAAACAAATGGTTTGTTTAACTCATATAGAGACAGTTCTTGCTATTAAAATACTGCTTAATTGTGAATGGCAAATTTTACAACGCCTCTAGCGGTCTTAAAAAGAAGATTTTTTCTTCACTTTTCGCGGTTATCGTTTCAGCCAGTGACAAGGTTTTTGACATTTGACTTTAAAACAAAGAAACTGATAAAAAGAAAATTTGGAAACGGGATTCATAAGTTTACTTGGTTGTCAGCGACAACTGTCACAGGATGGAAAAAAAAAACAGTAAATTCATGATAGATCAAACTGAAGTGTGAAATCTAAGACCGGTTACACACAGCGACTTAGCAGCGATGCAAACGCGATGCCGCGGCGATGCAGCCGCTAATTGTCTACATTTACACACGCCCGCGATTTTAAGCTGCGATTCAAACGATAGCAACGATACAAACTCGATACAAACGATAGCAACGATACAAACTCGATGCAAACACAATATAAGCGCGATGCGCGTTTTAAAATATTAACTAATTTATTTCTTTAACGTATTTATTAATTTCACTTTTATATTAGAATTAACAAAACAAAATAATGAGCATAAACTTATACAGATTTTTCGTCCATAATTAGTCAACATAGCGACTCTGTATCGTTGTAGTCGCGCGTTTGTACCGATGCAATAGCTTATAAATCGCAAGTGTAGCGATGCAATCGCGCATTTCACAAACGCGCGTTTGCGTCGCTGCTAAAAGTCCCCGTGTATAAACACTCTAAATCCTTTCTCTTTGTTTGAATTCCTGAAGTTCAGTTCTGTACTTAACAAGTGACTCACCAATCGATGCTTAGTATGTATATCATGTGACATCAGCACTCTGTCCTCTTTGCCCTCTCGGATCAACAAATCAATCTTGTCCAAACGCTGAGCGTCAGATGGCATGTCAGTTGTTATATTCAGTTGATAGTAGGACACTTCGACGCCGAACAGGTCGAACTGGCAATATGTGCCTAGTTCTGCAAAGTCCAGGAGCTTGGAGTCTTCGAGAAGAGTACCTTCGAAGAAGAAAAATTTAATTTTTGACAGAACTAGGGCCTGACTGAACTAGCGGATGATACAAAGTCTGCAGTCTGCGGTGGTTCTTAATATAGCACAATGCACCTGGAAGTAGCTTATATTATGCAAATAAATTAATAAAAGAAACAAATTTTTATTTGCCAAAATGGCCGCGGATATCAATTAATTCCTTTTTAATGAAATACAAGTAATCAGTTTTTTTCCTTGTAATATTATTTGAATATCGATCATGAGCTAAAATTATTTTCTGAACTTTGACAAATATACACACGTATCAAAATAAATATCACTGTGTGTTACAAACTAATTTATAAATTACCGCCTGCTAATATGGGCAGACGGCACTAATTCTAAAAATAAAGGGATAGACGCTGAATACCATTACGCTTCACTTTAAAGCGTTTTTAGCAAGATCTGTTCAACTTGTGGCAGTGGAAAAAAATGTATCTTCATCATATCTAAAATCGACCCCTCCTACGTAAAGTATCGTATGTCGAAATTGCCTAGTTTACAGGGGAGCAATTTAAAGCGTTGAATTCACTGAAATGAGCTTAACATGTTACTTTAGCATTTCTCAGTCTTATTCGGCAAATTTCGTTACTCGCATAGAGTATTATAAAATCTTAGATATCAGATGAACAACCACAATTTATTTTATATTTTGATACTAACGCGGCGGGTATGCGTCAACAAGCGGGTAAACTAACACACAGTATAAAATTATAAATTAAATTGTGGTTGGTCATTTAACCGATGTCTAGGATTTTATAACACTCTATGTGAGTAACGAGCTTTGCCTAATAAAACTGAGAAATGCTAAAGTCACGTGTTATCATTCACTCATTTCAGTGAATTCAAAACTTTAAAACGCTCCCTGTAAACTTGGCAATTTCGACATACGATACTTTACGTAGGAGGGGTCGAAATGTTGTTGTTTCCAAAAGACGATTTTACAATATTTCTTAGTTTAAAAAAATGTTCAAAGTTACCTCTTATTCTACGCTATCAACGCAAATATAACCGTAATTTACCAAGTAAAATTGATAAAATTTTGAAGAATAAGGCATTAGCCAATAATGAAAACCGTGGTTGTTTTATTTTTTCACGTTGAACCTAATTTTGGAAATAGACCCTTTTAGATGCATACGAAGGTCGGCAGTGATAGTTAAGACGTGTTGCTGGATCTTAGAGGATGGAAAAAAAATAAAAGAAAGGAGTTGCCCTGACTACGGAATGAACGTGCATACCTAAACAAAAATTTACGAACCAATGGCGGATTTTTTTTAGTGTTGTACCGTAATGTATCGAAAAGTCATTATCGACATGCAAACATTTAATTAAAGTAGATCAATATTCCATTTGGGAATATTTTAGGTTATATGGGAATGTCCGGGAATGTCACATGAAATTTTGAATTTATTGTTTTGCGTTTACAAATACTCAAATATTACGAAAAGTGAATTTACACAGAAAAAGGTGATATTTTGTAATTTGAGAGTATATAAAAAAGAGAAAACTTTGAAATATAAATCCCATACATTTCCAACCTCAAGATTCATATTTTCATAGATAATTTTTTAAACAAATTCCAAATAATGTAAGCTTTTTTGTGCATTGGTATAGAATTAATATCAATAACTGATTTAAGTGAATCTTTAATACTTCCATTTAATTTTGAAAATAAATGAAGGTAAAAAATATTATCAACAATAATATTATTATCATACGTTTACTTGCTTAAAACATGATATAACAGGAGATGTAACAAGAGACAGTTGGGTGTCATCACAGTGGGCATGGCTTAAAGCATCGATCGCTTAAGGGTATCGACCACAGACCACATAAATACTAGTAGACTGGTTAGAGGGCGGGGTCCGCGTTACCTAGCTTGTCACCAGACATAAGAGTGTCAACAGCGCGTCAGTCGTAGTTCTAATGTGATGGATTATTTTGTGGAAAAAATTGAAAAAAAAACATAGAATTGTGCAATTATATCATGTCGCGTAAGAAGCCAAAGTTTAAAAAATACTCTGGGAGTGATTTCATTTCATCAGTAAGTACTAAAACTCTGTATTTTCTAATATTTTCAACAAAACAATACTATAATTTCGAAACAAAACTATTTTCTTGCATTTCTCGGTAATAATAATATACATTGGTTGCTAGCCATCGCCGCCGTCAAAAGAACAATTTTAATGACGCTCAATGAATTGCTTGCACTAGTTTCGTATTACACTTGGTGCTGGGTCCGCGTGTTGTAATCAAATTATTCATACGTAGAAACTCTGTATTTAGAAACCCGGGTTTGGTTTAGTTCAACATTTTTTTTTATCATGCTGTACCAATGCGTAAACATAAATTGTTTACAGGTATTTCAAAGCTAACAATTTTGATTACTTAAATGTTTGATCCCAACACTAGCAATAGTTTTTTAAATTTTGAATTTAAGTAAAAAAAATATATTAATGGTAGTCTCGAAGAAATTGCTTTAAATGCCGTTTCCGTTCACGCAAGTATAAAGCTAAGCCTAGTTCAATATTCCGCTAGTTATGAAACATAATGTTGATATCAATTAAATGTCACATCCCTATCTGTACATTGTCAACTTTTTGGTTTTGTTCCCAGAAGTTTATGTTCATAGGATTCGTAGCTTTTATGTGACTACTAATAATAAAACCTTATTAGATCCAAATAAGTTTCAGTTTTTTTTACCAAAAGTTTTTTATTATTGTCTATTTTCGTTTGATAATTTATAACCAATCAAAATTATGTTATCTTAGTACTAACGTAAGATTACGTTTTCAAATGTGTGCGTGTGGCGACACCGGTTTTGATACAAATGTTGCTTGATGCTATTTCCATTCTTTTCTTTCTTCCGTGGCATCGACGCTTTTCAGCGTCATAATCAAAAAAATGTGTGAAATAAGCGCCCTCTAGTTGATCTCTTTGTTATCACTAGAAATTAGAGTAGCTTTGACTGTAGCTCATCAATGTAAAACAAATTAGTTAATATTGTGGGAGACTGATGCCTTAACTAGGCTCACAGCCTGTATTTCAGGTCACCAGGTCTCCAACCCTCGGGAATACATTTCTATGGGTAACATTAACGCAATAATTAAGCTTTACTCAATGCGGCATGAGTGAGATAAATACTATTTGAAAATTAACTAATTAAAGTTAAAAAAGTTAAAAGTTAAAAGTATAAAAGTCTAGAATCTAAGAGTTAATAGGGTTAGTACTTTGAGCGCGCGCGAGTGTTGTATGTGGTGTGGTGTGAGCGTGTTTGAGTACGTGTGCTTGTGTGTGTCTGTGTGAAAGATGTTACACTATGTATTCGTACTTTTTTTTAAATTAGCTATTTGGTAAATATCCGGCTAGGCTGTCTAGTATCGCAATTAGCAATCCTCTTGTGTCAATGGTCCATGTCTTTAAAATGAATAATATATGACATATTGTATGATTTTTCATGAAATTGTATAAAACAAAACTCACGGTCCAAATGTGACATGACAGCCTTGTCTTTCTGCCCGCCAGCCTCGAGGTACAATCGTATGATCTCAAACGGCGCGTCTGGCTCTCTATGTGGATGGAAGCTCACCCCGCAGCCTAGCTGGGCTTGAAGCTCGCCTGCTGATCGTATTGCTCGCCGTTCAAAGTCTGGGCAGAGTTTGGAAAATTAGATCTTTATTGACAAGTTGTAATTTCATCACAAAATAACAAATCTGTGTTAAATTATATCTACCATATTAAAAACGCACACTGTTATGTTACATATTTTACTGAATAAATAAATAAATGTGGATGTCAAAGATATTAACGTAAATTAGTTCTACCATTGTTGAGGTTTACAACTATAATCTATGATCAGATAAGCTACAGCACACCATACATAAATAACTGGGTGTCAAGCAGTGCTGCGACTCTGCTGTTTTTTATATTACATATTTTTCTGTTATGTATGTGTGTCTGTAGATCCAAACAAACGTTTTATCTATCTATAATGTAACAGTAAATTAATTTACATAGCTTCTGCATTCTTACTTGGTAGACCAAAATCCATGGTAGTGTCCGATTGAGCTCTATGTTGTTTCTATTTATAATATTTGAAATAAATATTTTATATGATAAATGTGAACAAATGTATTTTTACCAAGAGCAACCCCTAGAAATTAACTTAATGTGGGGTATCGAAGTGTATTTGCTTACCTACTACGAAAAAAATTTATGTATATATGTATTTTTTGAAGAGGTATATACCTGCTGTATTTCACATCTCCACTAAATAACAACTTCTTTACTTCGTTTTATTGGATAATGGGCCCAAGGATCTAAAAGTAATTTATCAAAATCGACAAACAAAGGAAAGTCCATAAAACAATTATTAAGTTTTTGTGCAATCTCAGGGTAAATATCACAGATAATACACTAGAATAATAATAATAATAACGTACACACTCCGCATAGCCCCGCACTAGGGAAACCGTGTGTCACGGGTGCCATAGACACACACATAGACAACCACAAATTACACCCAAACACACGAGGGAAATAAATGTAGGCCATTCAAATATTTCTCCCGACCCGGGAATCGAACCTGGAACCTCTGCGTGGCAGTCCGGCACGGTAACCGTTTGGCCACAGAGGCAGTTCAGTGTAAAAATATTGGCAAAGATTTAAATGAATAGCGTTCTACTGTGCATTCTATATGACAAAATACTCTCAGAATGATGTGTCTTGTTCAGATAAGGTTGTGGCCAAATGTTGTTTGTCTATGCCTATAAATAATGTAAATGAATAATTGTCTTTTCTTTAGATGTGTAATAATCGACTAAATAGCCTTTATTAAACGAGTGAAAGTCATTTGTGTAAGCTTATCACTTCTTGTCCTAAAGAAGATTGTCTTATAAAAAGCACTTTTACTTTGTAACTTAATTTTCGCAAAAAACATGATTAGTAACTTACCTCTCAAAGGCCAAACGCTGGCAATTTCTCCCATAAAACCAGCTTTAATATTAACATCACCAGCACACCCCTTGGTCAGCTCCTTCAACATGTGTTCATACATCTGCTCCCCACTAATATTCAGCAAGTTTCTGTCTTGTACGTCTTCTATGTAGTATCCAGTGCCAGCGACGATATGTACTCCAGTTTCTTGAGATATATATTTGTAGAATTTTACATCTCTATGCAGACCTTCCGTTGAGTTTTCTACTATAGTTCCTGAAAGAGTACATGGGCATGGTAATTATTAGGGAAGAAAAAATGCCAATAGCACTTCCGTTGTTTTGCCTCGAATACTATCAGAATCGCTGTCGCCAAAACTTACGCATACATGGGTTTAAAGACCAATCAAAAAAAATCTTATTCTGGAATGTTAATCTAATTTTAAATTCACCCTGCATATCGCATGTATTGCAAGTTCCGACCGCGACGTTTTGATTTTATTTTGAAATTTCAATCAATGTGCGCCATCCAGCGGTCAATAGCTGAACGACGGCAACGCCGACACCTGTAAACAGCGTCGAAAATTCGATGTTTACTTAGTTCACCAAAAAAGAAGTGACCACATGGCAGCAGTAGCTATACTTCCGTTTCTTATAACATTTTTTTCCGATAAACAGAAAATATATTAAAACGAAATAAAATAAGACTTAACGATGATATGAACACCACTACGAATAATATCACAGGTGTAACTACTATTTTTGCACTCCAAAGTAGCAAAATAAGGAATTTTTGTACAATTTGCGAGGTTTCGCGGAAGCGAGATAATTAACACGACCATGACGTACATAGAAAGCGAAAATGGCGGACTGAGCTCAAGTATGTGGATCTGCGCGTACTGTTGGCATAGATGCCACGCCCACAAAACACTTTTACTGTATTTGCTGTTCTGTGGTAATTAATTATGTATGTTGTAAATTCTGATGTAATAAGGTGCCTTTGATTTGGCGTAAGTAGTTAGTGCCGTCAATTTATAATAATTTAATCATCATTATCTTCAGCCTATCATTGTAGTCCATTGCTAGAATCTACTTCCAGCATAATGCAATCAATTTTCAACCTATAATAGTGACACAGTGTATATGTGAATAGTACCACATTTTTCATAGCCCCTAATTAGAAAATAGTTCACCCTAAAGAGGTCTCCATAACTTCTAGAGTTTAATACATACCTCCACCACACCTTTTATATTCCTTTACATCATTCAATACTGCGATTCGTGAGCTCTCATCATTCAGTACTAGATTGTACTCAGAGCTGTATGGATATTGTTTCAGGTAGCCCACTTTCTCCAATGAGAAGCCAGAGTTAAACTTATTTGCGATGATATGTGGTGGCTGGCGGTAGAAATGTGTAAATTCCATTGCCAAGTGCTCGTGAGTGAGTGTTCGGCCCACATCTGCTGGTTTGATGGGGCCCAAAACTGTGAACAGAGTAGTTGGCTACTTTGTAACATTTATGGAAAAATACAAAATTAAATTCAACCCCAAAATTAGTTTCCAATCGATATTGTTAGTTCATTTCTATAAATCTTACTCAGAAATATTGTCGCTTTCTTGAAATATTAATATAAATTTCCCATTGAAATTTGTAGTCTGATATGCCGTTGTCCGTACCTCACTAGTGGTCACATTCAATTTCAAAGAATATATTCCACCTCTAAAGGAAGCAAATTAAGGGATGAATCCGGTGTATTGGACGTCACCCATTTTCTATTAGCCGTTTTATGCTATCTGAACAAATAAAATATTACTATGATATTAAAGCAAGTGGAAGTCCATGCTTTCTGCCTACCCCAGTGAGAGACAGGTGTGATAATTTATATTCTTAATTAATTCAATGATTAGCCATTAAGTTAGTAAAATTTATGTCTCCTAATACCATTTATTTTTCATTTTAGCCAATCGGGTATAACATACTATGTAGCCAAATTGATTAAATTCTAATTTATATAAAGGGTCCAATTGCGTTGTAGGTCCAACGTAAGTCTTACGAATTGTTCAATATTATCATAAATAACACCTCATTTGTTAATACAATTTGTTGACATAGTACGTTTTGAAACAGAAAACTTAAATTAACAATTTATATCCTTACCGGTTTGTACTTTTCCCGTCATTACTCAGTCGCAATAGAATAACAACTGATTTATTGAGCAATAAATGTAAATAAATGTGCTTGAAAATTAAATGATAACACTTAGTAAATAAAGCGGAGTGCAAAATAAATTAAGCAAACAAACATAGACCATTATCACAAACTACTAATACAAGACCATTATCAAAAAAGTAATAATTGATAAGGCAAACCAAAGAGATTTTGGCATCAAGCCATACAGCCTATACTTCATAATACCTTTTATTAAACTTCACTTTGGTTTCATTTTTCATTTAGGTTTTCAAGTGGTTTTCAATTGATATGACATCAAAAGTGAAAATGATGTAACTGTAAATAGGCTCACAAGTTTTCTTTAAGACGGAAAAAAGAAAAAGAAGTTTTGCTTGAGCGTTGATTCAAGTCTTAAGCAATTCGTTTAGTCTTAAATAGTACTTAGTGCTGTCCTCGGCTGAACTACACTCAAGTTTTCACTTAAGTTTGAGTTGGGATTCTTCTTCTTCTTCTTTATTAGTGGCTTGTTTTGTGACTTTCACAA